ATACACTTTCCAAAGACAAGATAGAACATATTTTGGTATATTTCTTAAATAAAAACATGAAAATTATCAAATACAGGAAAATACCGATATATTCAAGTAAATTAAAATTGAGAACTTATAATCATTCACAGATACCAGAAAAAGAGTAAAAGACTCACACTGGGAAAAGTTACTCAAGGTGTGTGTGTGACAGAATATTTGTATCAAGACAATGAAGTACTTCTGTGAGTTAAAAAAAAAAATTACAAAAATGTTTTTTAAGAAATGAGAAGGGATGTCAGAAGAACAAGCACAAAATATCTGCCTCGAGAGAGAAATGCAAACACTGTACTGAAATTTCACCTAACCTTATTAAATGAGAAAAAAATTCTTTCAAGTTTGATTATAAATTAAGTTGGAAACCAGCTCAGGATTCCCTGGTAAAGTTTCCAAACATGTGCACAAGGAAGGATATTCATGATACTTGTAACTGTATCATTCATAATGGAAAACACCTAAATGTCCGCCAGGGGTAAAATGAATACGAAAATCATGGTAGATGTTTTACAGAATGCGCAGTGGCGAGCATGAACACACCAAAGCTACGTCCATCATGGTGGCTGGATCTAAAAATCATGATCTTGAGTGATAGCAGTAAGTCTCAGAGGAATGCATATAGTGCGATTCCATTCGTACAAATTTCAAAATCAGGAAAAACTAAAGACTATTTTATTTACCAGTAAATGCATGGGTGGTAAAAACTAGCAAGAAGAGAAAGAGAATGTTAACACAAAACTCCATTACTAGATCGCTATGCTGGGTTGGGGGCAGGAGGAGGACGAGAACTCGGAGGCTTTGGGGTTATTCCTTGGGAACATCTCATTGCTTAGCTTGGATACTACACAGTTAATTCATTTTAATTTCTAATAACTTTGTGTACATTTTATGTACATTAAATGCATGTTTTGTTTAGCATCTTTTTTAAGGAAAAGCAAAGCCTTTACTTGAGACAGATTACCCTGTGGCATGATGAAATGAAGAATGAGAGTCCATGGGACCTAAATGCTGGGAACAGTTGCCTTCATTCAGGTTCAGTGACATTCCCTTCTGAACAGGTCCAGTTCCACATCTTGACTGACTAGTATTTATATTGTATGGTATCTTAATCTGTTATTGGTTTATAATTTTTCTCATTGGCCTACAGGAAATTCCAAAAATTAAATTATTAATTAAATTAATATTAATGAGGATGCCTCAATAATTACTGAACAGAATATAAATACTTGAAATCATGGCTATGTAGGTGGAAGGTATAGCTATGCGGTTGTAGGTGGTAGAGGGAGGGAAGGCGGGAGAGAATAGATGGATGAATTTACTCATTTTATATAGTTTATGAGAAAAGATACTGTCAGAAGTTAGTTAATCAAGAAATGGAAGAGTGAATGTATTGAAAGTTATAAATACTCACTGGAGGTAGTAAAAATAATGATAGAACAAATAAAAATTGTAAGGAGAGGGCAGGTGATAGTATATTAAATACCTTCTCTCTCATCCTTCATATCAGAAGTCATTAGGTACCATCTAAAGTTGATACGTCTGGAAATACATGTATTACTTACAGTGATGGCTGAAAGGCTCACAGAACTAAAATCAAAAGCAAGCCAAGGCTTTACCTTTTCCCTACTGTTCAATTTGTTTTACCGTGTACATGGATTACTCTTCTTACAAAGAAAAGTTGTAGTGTATCACACCTTTACTCTGCGCAGAATCCAGCCTGCCACAGGACTGACCAGTCATTCCCTGTTCAGACCCCTTCTTTAGCCCATCATGATGGAGAGTGCAGCGCTGCCATTGCTTTAAGCATTTAAAGGGCACAGATTTAGTAGTATTTCTCTTTTGTGACCTATTGGAGCCATCAAATTGTTTAAAATTCAAATTGTGTCTTCATCTCAGTGGTGAATGTATCTTCTCCTGTCTCACGCTGTAGGGTGGGGTTCTGTGTTAATGACAGGTCCTCAGACAAGACAGACTCTGGGCGTGTACTACATGTCAGGTACTGTGCAAGGCACAGGGGAGCACCTGTGGAGCGTCAGGTTGAAAGTACACATATAGCCCGGGCCAGTTTGGCTCAGTGGTTGGAGCATCGGCCTGCGGACCAGAGAGTCCCGGGTTCGGTTCCCACTAGGGGCACATACCAAAAAAATAAAAATAAATAAATAAAAAAGAAAGTACACATATAGTATGCGTACATGCATCCATATGATTTACTTGCATGTATTTGTGTCTGTGTCTGTGTGTCCTTGCTGGGGCTCATTTTTACCCTCTTCATCTCTGTAATTGTATTTCCATGTGCAAAGTGACCATGCTGTACCCAGACCAATCTCTTATATCCATTTTCTTAATGATCAGTGCAGGTTCCCTCCCAAAGAAACCAGTGTAGTATCCATCCTGAAAACAGCTGACGTAACCCAGATGGCCCCAGTTTTCTTTGGTAGCTTCATGGAGACATCTCCCAAGCACCCAACTAAAAAAAATCTCTTACTGAGAATTTTCTAACTTCTGTTCAGAATTTTCCCTTGAGTCATGATAAAGAAACTGACTCTTAATGACATAGGCACCTAAACATTTCAAGTGAACGTCAGGAATTTCATCACTAAAAATGCAGGATGTTGGGGAGAATTTAGTGTCTCATTCCTTCTGAAGAACAAAAGTAGTCTGGCTCCCTTTCTCCATCCCGCGCGTACTTTCCCCAGAAAGATCCGCTCATAGCCAACACTGAAGGTGCCCACAGCGCTCCCTCCCAGGCTGTTCCTAAGTGTCTTGGTTGGTCTTGTGCTGTCCTTCCTGTCTCCCTGTTGCCACAACAGAAGTGCTGCTTAGAGCAGAGACGGTCAAGGCAGCTTGGTCCCTGTGCTGGTCCAGCCCAGGACTGCTGCAGCCCCAGGCCCCATGTGCAGCAAGGCCTGTGTCCTCTCCACCAGTGGGTCCTTTGGCAAAATTGTTGGCCAAGGTAAAAACATTTATTCAAACATCCAGACAGTGCCTTTTGTTAATAGTCTCAGTTTCCTGTTTTCTTGACATAAGGTGTTTGGAAATGTTTACTGTTTCCGGCTGCTGCGAGCGTGGCTGTTTTACACGCTTTATTGTGATTGTATTTGGTGTGACTACCAGCAGTGATAGACTGGGAAGAGCAACCAATTTCTGCAAATTAAAGTGGGGGGAGGGGGCAGATCGATATGGTGACTTAAACCTCCATTTAGTTTTGTCTTACATAATGCAGGTGTTATAACTCTATTTAGGATTCTGGCAGGAATTGTAGCCACTCAGTGGAAAAATGATTCTGGAAAGGACTAAATTAGGTTATTTTCCAGCTCTAAAGCCAGTTGATGAGGCCTTACGTGTCTCCTGAGTGCACCCCAGACCTGGCCTGGAAGACAGAACACAACAGTATGAGCTTTAAAAAGCTACTTAATTAATTTGCTGCCTCTACTTTTTTTTTTTTAGTCCTCATCCAGGGATATTTTTCCATTGATTTCTAGACAGAATGGAAGGGAGGGAAGGAGAGAAGGAGGGAGAGAGAAACATTAATGTGAGAGAGACACATCTATTGGTTGCCTCCCACATGACCCTGACCGGGGCTGGGGAACAAACGTGCAACCCAGTTACATGCCCTTGACTGGGAATCGAACCTGAAACCCCTTGGTCCATGGGCTGATGCTCTAACCTCTGAGCCACACCAGCCAGGGCAGCTAGCTCTACTTTTACATGAGCAGTGGGACTTTGTCTAGTCAGCGTTTGTTAAGTCGATGTTGTGGCTCTCTGATGAAGAGGCTGTCCCTCATAGTTGTTCTGGCATTGAGTAGACGCCCATTAGCACCAAATCGTATCTGTTATATCTAAGATAGACATGTGAACTATACATAGCAGTCTTCTTTTCTCACCGCTGTTTAATTTCCTAAAAGAAAAAAGAAATTATCAAGTTTACTTTTGGGTTCAGTGTGGACAATCTTCAGAATGTGATCCTCATGCAATTTAGGGAGACAGCCCTGAGACAAGGTGACAGCTGACAAGGGGCCCAGTTCAGTGCATGGGCCTGGGCCCCTTCAAGTACACTGGGGATTCTGTGAGACCTCCGGGCCTGACTCGGAAGAGCAAAGCAAAGCAGGTTGCCACCAGCAGGAGTTTATTAAACGATTAGCAGGGCATCGCCACCAGAATCACAGCCAACTCACACTGGCCATCACGACCCTGCTCCTTCCATCTACCAGCCTCAAGGAAATCAGAGGAAGTCCCTTACAACATGAAGATGCATGGGGCAAACTTCCAGCGGTCGAGAGGAACTGGCCCTTTAAAATGACAAAAACTGAACTGGTTCCAGGCTCCCTTAGTTAAATCCCATTAAATCCTTGATGACCACTGGTGAAACATTTCTTTACCTAACTTGTCGGATAGTCAGGAAGCATTTCTGGTTTACATCTCATTCTGCATTATCTGGGGGCGCCCAGAACCTGTGCCAGGACTCAACCTGTGTGGGATGTAAGTCTTGGGAACCTTGTCACCTAGGATGCAAGTTCAGTAAAATTGTCTCCTCCAGGTTCTGATGCAGCTGGACCTCGTTTGGCTTATGTCAGCAAAAGAGATCGAAGTTCAGAATGCCTTGCACAGAGAATGCTAATGGGGTTTATTTCCTTAAATTTTCTGTAAAATGAAGTGGAAGGAAACAGGTTCCATCTGTTAGATACTCATCTCCTGGCGAGGTCCCTACTCTGAGCCTCTGGTTGTTTACAAACAGCTCCTTAGTGGCTCCTCACAGATCCATGCCTGGGCAATGCTATTATGGAGAAGAAATTATTTGGAAGTCCGGTTCTCAGACAATAAAAAGGTGATTCAAAAGCCTGCTGCTGCACATTTTAAAAAATTGTTAATGGGAGAATGGAAATATATGTAATCTCTCTTAAATCTTTAAGACTGTAACACTCACATGTTGGGTTTTTGTTTTCTTTTTCTGCTTCCTTTTTAAGAGAAAGGTGATGCTGAGCCAGAGAGTCCAGACAATGGCACCTCGAATACATCGTAAGTCTCTCTCTTTCTGTGTGTGATGGCGGCCCTTCAGTGTGCCTGTAATATGAAACAGTGCAAGCACCTTGTAAAAGTAGAAATAATGATGGCAGGAAGGCTGTGGTTCTCCTTCTCATGATAATGTCTTTTTAAATGCTCTGAGTGCACATGCATTTCTGGAGGTCTTTGTTATGCTTTAATACAGAAAGAATAATATCAAAAACTCAAATGCTTCTTTTCATAATGAGATTTGAAGGTACATGATGGTGGGAGAAGAGAGGGAAACCCTTTAGAATTTGTTTGGAGACTTTCACCATCACTGTTGTAAATAATGGAGAACTCCTCTCATGTGCTGGGAGGCATTCTGTCCTGCATGTCCGTCTGTGAATACCAATGTCATTCAAAAAGCCTGCCATCGGCAACCTCACCTCAGAATTATGCAGAAAATACAATGATAGCTTTCCCTGGAACCTCGTGAGTTTGTTGATGTTTTTCAATTAACAAAAGCAGTTTTTAAATGAAAAGGAAAGGCACTTATAAAACACGTGTTCCTCGGCATTTTGCCTTTTTCCTCTCAGCACTCAAGGAATCCAAATACGTTTTAATGAATGATTCAATACCCAATTTATGTACCAAAGTTTAAATGAAATAATTCAGGAGCTAACAAACTATTTTAGGAATCACTAATAGGTTTGCTCTTTGAAAATCTTTATTATGACTCTGAGGGGTGATGGATGGCTTCTTATTCTTTGACAGGTTTGTGAATTTAACTTTAAATGGATCAGCACTCTTATTACTAAGCATTTAAAATGCTATTCATTAGAAATTACTATTTGTGGAATAATGTTATTGAGTATCTTAGTTTTTCTAAGATCTGTTTCTCACTCTAGAAAAATATTTTGGCTTGCATAGGATGGCTATATATTTTATGAAGGATATGATTATATGTTTGTCTCCCTTAAGAGGTTACCCTAAAAGTTCTAAACGTTCCTTTGTCATGATTTCTGATGATATAATACATGTGATTAGTTTTAAATGGTTAAAATATCACTAACTTTAAAATTTTTATGCTGCAAAATATAATGGGAAAAGGGTTTTAATGCCATCTGGAGGCATTCTAGAGAACTGAAAAGGGGAGAATCATTTAAAAATTTGGTTCTTTTAAATAACTTGAGACTGGATAAGAATTTATACTACTAGAATGTAAGCTATTTGGGAGTAAGTTATATTTTTATAAGTAATTTTATAAAAGTGTTAATTATTATGGAAACAATATTTTTGAATTCTCATTAACAAAATCATTTTAAACAAGCAGACAAAGGTACATACAAAATATATTGGAAAACTGCTAACATCCTACATTTAATTTTACAAATTTTAAAATCTCACTTGGTAGACACCAATTTTGTTAATGCAGTTTGATGTACCATTAAAGTTCTTCTTCCTGTATGCATGTCTAAAAATTAAAAAATAAATCTATTCTCTAAGGGAACTGGTTTCCACACCTCCGTACCTTATGAAAATAAATACGTTGTCCGAGGAATTCTGTTAAAGCCTCTGGAGATTGGAGAACAGTGCACGCTGGGAGCATTGCCCACATTCCTCTCTCTTTAAGCAAAGCAGTTGCTTAGCCATTGGCCTCACCTGCCTCTGGGACTAGACGGAGCAGAAATAACGCTGAGGTTGCAAGGATCTGCACTTGGGCTTCTCACAGAGCTCTCTGACGGGTCCTGTAGTGATTCGGCACGAGCCGCGTGGAGTGAGCAGAGAGCAAGGACCCAGGGTGCCGCGGATGTGTAAGCATCTTGCATTGTCTGCGGTGCCTTATCTGAGCTTTATTTAGGTAGACGGACAGTATCCTTATTTTATATAGAAGGACTGTAAGGATCAGAGAAGCCATTCAACTCAAGTTAGAAAAGTAGGATACAGATTTTTGTATATTTTGCTTTTTTGTCCATTTACTCTGCTGAGGAGTCAGTGGATCTTAGGAGACAAAGCAAAGCCATGAGTCAGAAGCAAGTAGAAAATTTGGGGCCAGATTATTTGTTAAGTGGTAATGTATTAATTTGCTAGGGCTGCTGTAACAATGTACCACAGACTGGATGCTTAAGCAACAAAAATGTATGATCTCATGGTTCTGGAGCCTAGACGTTCAAGATTGGTCAGTAGGGTTGGTTTCCTCTGTGAAAGAAGTACCTGGTCAAGGCCTGGTGACTTGTCCTGTATATGGACATCTCCTTCTCTGTGTCTGTTCATGCAATCTTCCTTCTAAGCATGTCTCTGAGTCCCAGTTTCCCCTTTCTATAATACCAGTTATACTGGATTAGGGCCCACCCCCAAGGCCTGGTTTAATATGATCACCCCTATAAAGACCCTGGCTCCAAATAAAGTCACATTCTAAGAGGTTAGGACTTCAACATATGAATTGGGGGTGGGGAGTGGGGGACTCAACTCATAACATTAAGGGTCAGAATAATCAGAATGATTCCAAAGCCAGCTTGGCAGAAGCAGATGAACAGATGCCAGGAGATGGAACGAGGGGAGAGGACCTCAGTAAAACAAATCAGAAATGATGAGCTCCATGGGAGCTGAAGGGATGAAGCAGAGCAAAGAAAATTGTAGAAAACGCATGGGGTGCTAGGAAAGACATTGTTTTCACGTTCATGGTTTGATGGAACAGACTTGGCTTTGGTAATGCCTGTCCATCCCTCTGTGTGAATCCATGACCCTGGGAGTCATTAAAAGCCATTGTATGGGCTTAAATAAGGTATAAAGTTGGAAGCCTCAAGACAGAGGGCTAATTTCCTGAACACAAATCTTTCCTCACTGGAGCAAAAGATTAATCATGGTAAGTTTTAGACAATCATTGCCTGATAGGACAGAGTAGTCTGAATAACACCGGAAGATCCCTCCAGGAGATATTATTCAATGATACTATGAAAATTCATAAAAATGAAAAGTGTAGTTTATTCTTAACACAAAAAAAACCTACAAATTAGAATTTCTGTAAAGTACCAGTTATGTTAATGATGGGAGACCTTGTATTGGATTAACTCTTCTGCAGATAACTCTGGATAAAATATTTTTTAAACTAATAGAAGGCAGAAAATGTTGGGGATTTGATCCTTCAAAGAAGAAAATTAGACTGGGTGAGATCTACATTTATGCAGCTTCCCCCTTAAAGGTACTTCCAGTCCACACAGAACAAGAATTCAAGGAGAAAGCCACAGTCTTATTGCATGAAGTGTCAGAGAATGGAGTTCAAGGTTACGAGAGTGACAAGGCAACGTCAAGAGAATGAGAAAGCTGGCAGAAAATGTTTGCAAAAGACACATCTGCTAAAGGACTGATACCCAAACCAAGGAATACTTAAAACTCAACAGTAAGAAAATAACCCAATTAAAAAGTGAGCCAACCTCGGTATCCGACATCTCACCAAAGAAGAAATGCATGTGGCAAATAATCATATGGAAAGATTCTCTGCATCATCTGTTACCAAGGAAATGCAGTCAAAACAGTGGTACACCCTATTACAATCGCAGAACCCAGACAACACCAGGGGCTGGGAGGATGCAGAGCAGCAGGAACTCGCATGCATCGCTGATGGGAATGCACAGTGGTGAGGCCCCACTGGAAAACAGTTCAGCGGTTTCTTACAAAACTAAACATACTCTCACCATACAATCCAGTAGGCATGCCCTTTGGTATATACACAAAGCTGCTGAAACTCATATCCACACAAAAATTTTACCTCAACTAAAAAAAAAAGAAAGAAAGAAAGAAAAAATAAATTTACAGGAAGGATTACTATTTATGTGACAGCTTTTCTTCCCTATAATAATAATAACACTAATAATTAACATGTTTTGAGCCTCTACATTGACCAGGTACTAGTCTTAACACTGGACATGTTTTCTCACCTCTAATTCTTACAAAACAAAAATAATACCTTATTTTACAGGCAAAATAGGTTAATTAAGGTTTCTGCTTTATATAGCTTGAAGTGGGAAAGTCAGGATTTGAACCCAGGATTCAGATCCTGGAAGCCAAGCTCTTAACCGTTGTTCCATTCTGCTGGCTCTCAGAGCTCTTTGGCGGTTTCTCTAGAGAGAATAATCATTCCAGGAAAGCGAGTAATGAAGATACGGCCTGCCGAGAAGAGGAGACTGCGGTCCTGCTAGAAAGTCATTCGTACTAGAAAATCTCTAGAAATAATGAGCAAATGGAGATTTCCAAAAACTGTGAAGGCCACAGTTTGTTGGGGTCACCATGCTTGCTTGATCCAGATTTTCCCACCACCAACAAATTCACCCTCGAGTCTAAGGTCAGCAGCACAGGCTTGTAGCAGAATCCTAAGGGAGGATCCTTCCACATCTGTAGATGACCTTCAGTTGCACAAAGTAAATATAATTTTAAAGAATAAATGAAGATTTGAAATGACTTTCATGAAGAAATTGGATAAGACACGAAGTATTCGGCTCCTAGGAGGAAAAATAAGCAAAATGAGGCAGAAGGAAAATGGTTCATCAGAGGTACAGTTTGTACGGTAAGAGACTTGGAAATTATTATAAGCTCAAACTGAATTAGAGTGACCCATGAAATTTTTTTTCTCCAAAGTTAATACAGTAGTTGGAATTAATCTGTAGAAAGTGCCTATTACTGAATATATGTACCCCTATGTTCATAGCAGTGTTATTTGCAATAGCTAAGATCTGGAAACAGCCATCAATAGGTGAGTGGATAGAAACGCTGTGGTACATTTACACAATGGACTACTATGTGGCTGTAAAAAAGAAGGAGCTCTTACCCTTTGCAACAGCATGGATGGGCCTGGATATTATTGTTCTAAGTGAAATAAGCCAGACAAAGACAAATATCACATGATCTCACTTATATGTGGAATCTAATGAACGAGATAAACTGACAACCAAAATAGGTCCAGAGGCATGGATGCATGTATAGACTGACAGACCTGGGGTGGGGGGTGCCAGAAGAGATTAACCAAATAATTTATA